CTTGATCTCTTGACTTTGTGATCCACCTGCCTCGGCCTCCCAAAGTGCTAGGATTACAGTCCTGGGCCACCGCGCCCGGCTATCTTCTTTATTTTAAAAAGCAATTCAGCATAACAAATTCTTCACTGGTTAGGCTAGTGCTGCAATTTGGAGACAAGAAAACCACGTCCTGAGATTCTGAAGAAGCACATACGTGTCTTGTCTTGATGCTTCTCAGGGTGGATTTCCTGATTGTAATCTCTTCTATGAATATTCCTTTGTAGGATGATGACTTGGAAACAGATGTGGACAAGCTGAGTTCCAAACCTGGTCTTGACCGGCCTGAAGAGGAACTGAAGCAGTATGAGGCGATGTGTCCTGAGCTGTCCTGCAGCTCTGAGGTAGGACCCGTGTTGTGGTTCTGATCTTGGATGATGTATGATGGGTTCTTTGCAGATCCTGGGAGGCCAAACCAGGGTGTCCAGATGGAAAGCATTGCTCACCATTAGCTATATGCTTCTGGGCTCTTCCTTAGAGAAAAGCAAAATGCTAAACAAAATTGGGAAAAGGTGGCAAAATGGGAAACAGTTAGGATGTATGCAAGGGTTCTTCAATCTGACACTCACACTTAGGATGGATACTCAGTCATGTGCTGCATAGCGACATTTCCATTGATGATAGGCAACATACACCACGGTGGTCCCACAGGATTATAAGATGGTATTTTCACTACATCCTTTTTATGTTTAGACACACAAATATCGTTGTGTTACTGTTGCCTACAGTGTTCAATACATTAATATGCTGTACAGGCTGGTAGCCTAGGAGCAATAGGCTACACCATATAGTCTAAGTATGCAGTAGGGTATACCATCTGAGTTTGTGTAAGTGCATCCTGCCCCCATGCACTGAAAAAGCAAATAAAATTCATGACGATTTAATTGTTCTCATGCCAAAGTGGGACAATTGTCCTAGATGGCTTTTGTCAAGGTGGACATCCTGATTTCAGGTTTTCTTTGTCAGTTAGAAACAAATTGAGAACCTTAGACCTGGTAATGCTAATTCTGTGCCTACCTGCTGCCATGAATATTTTAGACCTGCTTTTGATGTCCATTATTTTCTTATGGCTCTTAGAAATCGATCATGAATTTGGCTACATCTAAGGGTATAAGCTAAGTCACGTGTACAGAAGGGAGTTAATATGTTCTATTTGACTTCAGAAAGCAGGCACCGATCAGTAAAAACAGTTTTAGGAAAGGAAATTTCAGTGTAGTAGAAATATTTTTTTTAAATAAGCAGAATTATCCTCAAGTGAAAGGCACTGTCTTGGGGTGCAGTGAGGTCCCCATAAATATGGTTTTTCAACCAGATTATAATTTAGTGATTCTTGAAGAAGACATTCAAATACTGTTATCCACTGGACTAAACCCACCAAAAGCCCCTACCAAATATAGTGAGTTTCTATGATTCTGTTATTTATTCGACTCTTGAAGGTTAGTCTTTCTTAGTCAGCCATGGAAAAAGCTTCCAAATTCACAGGATTTATGCTTAGCTCTGTGCCCAGAGAGTAAGGACAGGGATCAAATTGTGCTCCGTATCTGGAAAGTCCCACTAACATATTCTATTCCATTTTGAACCTGAAGGAACTGGAGTCCAAACCTGGAGATGATTTGAACCCTGAAAAGACTGAGTTTGCCAATCACCACCACATTCTGACTGCTGCCTTCTCAAAGCAGCATTGCTTCAACAAGGACCAAAGTTCCTGTGGGCAAGAAAGAGAAGATGCTGTCCGGTCATCCCTTCTGTGCATGGTGAAGACGGGAAGGTCCACTGCGTATCCAGGATCCAAAAGAAAGCCTGTAGTGAACCCGTACCAAAATATGCAATCCAATCATCTCGGGAGAGATTCTTCTGAAAGTGAAATCCCTGACATTCAGGATTCCCCAAAAGTGGCTGCCTGGGACATAGATGCAATTTTCTGCCAAAGGATGGGTGCCTCCTTTTCCAATCCCAGTAGGACTGGAGAAACTGTCAAAGTAATAGATAAGCTTCTGCAGACACATCTGAAGCGTGTCCCTTTCCATGATCCTTATCTTTATATGTCCAAAGCCAGAAGAACCAGCTCTGTGGTGGACTTCAAGATGATGGCATTTCCTGACCTCTGGGGACACTGTCCCCCTCCTGCCACCCAGCCCATGTTGGAACGCAAATGTGGAGTCCAAAGGTGATGGTGCTACTGACTTGGGAGCTCTATTTTTTCTGTTCTTTGATAATTTAATAAGTAGAATGGTTTGTACAGATAATTCTACTATCTATAGAAAAGTGAGCATTAATCAGAAACATGTTAAAGCCTGTTGGGAAACTTTGGCCAAACACACAAATTTTCCTCCCTGCAAGGACATTTCAGAATCAAGCGTGGGGTAGTGGTAGGCATGCATTTTCTGATGAAAAATTCCTTGAATAAATCTAATACAACTCCTTATCCTATCTCCCTTGCAAACCACTGTCACAAAGAAAGATCATCCAGTTTCTCCAAATACTGGGCTCCTTCCTCAAAAGTAGGTTTTCAGAAATACCAGGAGCTGATTATTTGGGATATATTTTCTCGTTTACTGCAAATTGGTATGAGATCTCTTGCTAATAGAAAGGAGGTGGTGTGCCTCCATTCCATAGCCCCAGCTTTGATAGACCCTGGCTTGGTTTGGAGAATAGTTTTGCTCCTTCACAGAAGAGGGGATGGAAAAGACATTCTCCAGGGAAGAAACACTGGATGATAGATTATTCCCAGAAGGCAGGAAAGGAAGCTTTACTTATGGCTCAGCATATTAAGAATAAAATGAAAATGCTAAAGGCAAAGAAAATATTATTTTCCTTGAAAAAAAAATGTATGCACATACCAAGTTAATGGAACAAAGTGGGCAGACCAGAAAGAAATTATTCTCTTGATGGTAGGTCCCCCAGACTGCTCCCACTTGCAGTCCCGGCTGATACCTCCCACCTTGCCCACTGCACTTTATCTGTCATGCTCATGTTTTTGAGAAACTGACCACAAGGGCCTTTGTAGCACCATCTCACCCCTGCATGGAACATCTTCCCTCTAAGCCCAGACCTCATGCCCGCCTTTTCCCAGCCTTCTCTCATGCCTCTCCTATGGACTGGGTTGGAAATGCAGATGGTAATCTGAAAGACCTCCTAGGCTTTCTTTCCCTCTCTTAGTTAAGTATCACAGATTTTCGTGTTTCTTAGACAGAAAAATGACCTCAGCATGTTGGAGCAGGCAGAACCCAAGGAACATAAATTGCAAAAGGGTATGCAGGATTATTGGAGCCTCCCAAATCTTGAAGATGCTAGCAGCTAATAGTCCTCGTGTCTTCCTCAAAACTTTCCCAGTGCAGACTACCCCCTTATTCTCACAGCTAGAAAAGTTCTAAAGTCCCCTAACTCCAGTGCCTTTGATACAATTCTTCAAGCCAAGAATTCTCACATTACTACGATGTAGGGATAACCAAAACCTAACATTGCTAATTCCTACATTCCTACTTCTCAGTGCAGTTTTATTTTTTTGATTAAGAAAGAGAAAGAAGGAAGGCAGAGCCATTAGCACTCTCTGAGCTGACGGTTGAGGCATTATTAAACTTCTCTGTGCTTTTGTATTTCTCCGATGACTCCCAGAGTTCTTCCCGGGTGATTATAGGATGAGTGAGCTAAGGAAGGAAGGCTGACCCTGAAAATGTTTTCAATTTTCTTTTTCAGGATCAGGATATTTGAGGATATTCGGAGGCTCATCCAGCCAAGTGATGTTATAAGTAAAGTTGTCTTCAGTTTAGATGAGCCTTGGTAGGTATTCTTGTGCATCCGAGGAATGTGGGGCATGGAGAATTCTGTTAATGGCATGAGAATAGACTTGTTTCCTGTTAGTAATCCACTCCTCCTCCTAAACACAGTATGATGGAAATTCAGGTTAAAGATCTCTAAGAGAGGCTGGGTATGGTGGGCTCATGCCTGTAATCCCAGCACTTTGGGAGACCGAGGTGGGCGGATCATGAGGTAAGGAGATTGGGACCATCCTGGCCAACGTGGTTGAAACCCCATCTCTACTAAAATACAAAAAAATTACCTGGGTGTGGTAGTGTGCGCCTGTAGTCCCAGCTACTCGGGAGGCTGAGGCAGGGGAATCGCTTGAACCCGGGTGGCAGAAGATGCCGTGAGCTGAGATCGTGCCACTGCAGTACATTCTGGGCAACAGAGTAAGACTCTGTCTCAAAAGAAAAAAAGAAAAAAAAAAAGATCTAAAAAATGATGAGTTCAGATTCTTTGTAGAGACATGGATGAAACTGGAAACCATTATTCTCAGCAAACTGACACAAGAACAGAAAATCAAACACTGCATGTTCTCACTCATAGGCGGGTGTTGAACAATGAGAACACATGGACACAGGGAGGGGGGCATCACATTGAGAACACATGGACACAGGGAGGGGTCTGTCTGGGGGAAATAGGGGAGGGACAGCAGGGGGTGGGGAGTTGGGGAAGAGAGAGCATGGGGAGAAATGCCAGATATAGGTGAAGGGGAGGAAGGCAGCAAATCACACTGCCATATGTGTACCTATGCAACAATCTTGCATGTTCTTCACATGTACCCCAAAACCAAAAATGCAACTAAAAAAATCTATAAGAGAAAGCTTATCTTTAAGAATCATCACCCTGTTTTCAAGAGTAGCTATAACACATATGTTCACATGTTCTTTATTTCGTCACAGGCCTTTGCAAGATGGTGCTTCCAATTGCTTAAAGTTCTTCTCCAAATTTGAATCAGGAAATCTTCGCAAAGCCATCCAAGTGCGTGAGTAAGTAAGGAAAACCACAGGGGGTATCTCTTCACAGTTCATGAAAGCAAGTTGTGATTGTCTCTTCCCCATGCTCTGTTCAGTGACTAGTGACCTCACATTGGTAGCTTGAAATCAACCATAGTGGGAATATTTATATCATAAAAATTGGCAAACAGTACAAGTGAAGGTTTTCGTCTCAGAGAGTCGTTTATTAAACATTCACCAGTACACTACTAGGGAACTCACAGGTATCATAGCTGAGTGAGCTGTTAGGTAGAGGTGAACTATTACTGATGTGTCTTATGTTTCAAATTATGGGTTCATATTTGGGTTTGAGAGCACTTTGATGCCAGGGCAGATTCTGTTGACATGGAAGGGCACATGGGCTTGCTATTCCTGCACTTCGCCACATTCCTGAGGTGGCAAATCATGAGCTTCCCAGAGAGAGGTGAACCATCCTGCATTCAAGGGCAGATGCAGTACCATGCTCTCTAGCAGAACCTACAGATGAGCTCTCAGTCGAGACGGATATCATAGCCAAGGAAAGTCTAGGGCTGTACAAACTAAAAGGAAGGAAATAAAACACAAATGAGTTTTAATTCTTTGTCAGTTTCAGAAGAGACTACTGTTTTCACTATGTTAAAATTCTTTGTTATAGCAGTGTGGATATATTTCCCATGTACCAAAAGGCAACATATATGATTCAACTTCTATGGGTGAACTTCTGAAAAGACAGTCCAGAACAGATAATGGCGTGGTGGCCATAGACAGACACCAGGACCACCTCACCACCTCCCAACCAGGAGACTGAGCAAGTTTCCTAACTCACTCCATGCCTTTATTTCCTCACTCACAAAATGAGAACAATAATTGCACCTACTTCTTAGGGATTTCATGAGAGCTTAAATAATACACTTAAAACTCTTAGAGTAGTACCTGGTCAGCACTTAGTCAACATATACGCTTACTCGGAGGTGCATCTTCACCATGATTGGAGCTCAGAACTCAGTGTGGCTGGGATCTCCTTTATATCCACCTGAGGATTCATTTTTTTTTTTAGACGGAGTTTTGCTCTTGTTACCCAGGCTGGAGTGCAATGGCACGATCTCGGCTCACCACAACCTCTGCCTCCTGGGTTCAGGCAATTCTCCTGCCTCAGCCTCCTGAGTAGCTGGGCATGTGCCACCATGCCAAGCTAATTTTTTGTATTTTTAGTAGAGACGGGGTTTCACCATGTTGACCAGGATGGTCTCGATCTTTTGACCTCGTGATCCACCTGCCTCGGCCTCCCAAAGTGCTGGGATTACAGGCTTGAGCCACCGCGCCCGGTCGAGGATTCATTTTTGAAGGTTTCCTTTTTGGGGGAGGTGAAGGGTGATCCTTTTTTTGAACATAAAGTATTTCAAGGAAGCCCAACATACAAAACAGAGACAAGTTTAACGAATCAGGCTAAACACGAGAAAGACAATCACGTCAAGATTCGTCCTCAGCCTTCTGGGGTTGTCGGCTTCGCTTCCACTTCTTCCTGTAGCTCCCACTTTGACTCTTCCTTCTCTCCAGATGTCATGTTCAAAGGATCCAGGAGAGGAGACCTGAGTATGAGTCTCCTGGTGGGACAGTTATCAGATCAGGATGTGCCTAAGCTGCTGGGCCCGCTCAGGTCTTTTTCTTTATACATTTCCCTTGGACCAGAGTGTAAAATCCTAAATTCATCAGTTATGATCAGGGCAATAGAGCCAAATGACAGTAAACAAACCTAATTATGGGTAAGGAGTTTTTGTGATTACTTTTTGGAGAGAGCACTCTGGGAATAGCAGACAATTCGAGGGTCATAGCCTTTCCAAGTTGTTCTTGTGAGGGCCACTCTGTGAGTTGTGCTTCATGTATTGGATGGTGGCTCAGTGGTTAGAGTGTGGTGCTCACAGCAACAGTGTGAGGGCTGGACTTCATCAGATAGCTCTAGTCTGCACTCAGCTGTCTCATACCATGCTATAGCCTTTCATAAATCTTACTACACAAAGCCATTTACTAGGGGTCCCACGTGGGAGAATATGAATGGATTGGGGCAAAAACATCCTTTTCAGAAGAGCAACTCAAAGAGAGTACCAAGAGGATGGAACAACATTTTTCAAAATAAAATATCCTGATAATATTCAAGTCAAACGCACATTGCTAGTTCTGTTGCTAGAGATCAGAAAAGTAATAACCTTTGGAGATACAGCGATGGGGAGAGGATCCCTGAGGTCCTCTTGGGGTGCTGGAAATTTCCTATATCTGTGTAATAGTCATGCAAGTGGTTTCAGATGCAAATAAATTCACTGAGCTGTACATGCAAGATGTGTATATTTTATAGCCTGGGAGTTACATCACAATGAATATGAAACAACCCCTGCATTACTCGTCTAATTCATGTTTGTTGTTTTCCTGGGGGACTTATATTTACTAGTTATTTGAGTTTTGTAAAGAGCACCGTAAGTTTAGACACTTCCTTTTCCGTATGTGGAAATTGAGGCTCAAAAGTAATGCTGATCATCAAATAGTAATGGCGTATCCAAACCAGATGAGGTTGAATTTTCTCTGGTATGTAGCACACTTGCATTTTTTTCTAGGTAGATAATTATAGTTCAATAAAAATATATGCTAATATTTTCAAATAATAAAAGGACTGGAAATGGAATGTTATTAACACAAAAGAAGTGTGAAATGCTTAGGTGATAGATATCTCAATTACCCTGATTTGATCATTACACATTGTATCATTGTGTCAAAATATCACATGTACCCCATAAATAAGTACAACTATTGTGTATCCATAATAATTAAAAAAAAAATTAAAAATATGCACTACTATGTAATTGACTCTTCTAATACAAAGAAGCCCCCTCACCTCCACAAATTTCCAAAACCTGTACCCAATATTGTGATATCAGGATGATAAGTATAACTCACCAGCTAGCTGAGATCCTGGGTCTTAGATCTGTATAACCCAGAACCTGAAACATGTAGATTCTCAGTGTTTCAAGGTTACCTTAAAGTCTTTCCGGATAACCCTCCAGTCTTGCTTCTGATCTGCAGGTTCGAGTATGACCTGTTGGTCAATGCGGACGTGAACAGCACCCAGCACCAGCAGTGGTTCTACTTCCGGGTGAGCGGTATGCAGGCGGCCATCCCTTACCGCTTCAACATCATCAACTGCGAGAAGCCCAACAGCCAGTTTAATTATGGTATGAACTCTTGGGGAGCAGGGGCTTTCCCCAGCATGCCAGGAATGAAATCATTTCTTGACTGTTGGGATTCAAAGAGCCTTGCATGGGTTCAGAGGGTTTGAATTTGGGTGGATTTTTGGCTTGCCAGGTGTGGCAGGCAGGCAGTTGCCCTCAGCAGCACACTGCTGTTTTAGCAGGAAGGCTGGGCATCCTCACTCTGCACATGTAATATCCTCTGCTTCTGGATCCCTTTGCTCTACCTTGAATTTTTTGAGGTTGGTGAGTATTATCATTTATTCCTCTTCTCCATCTCCTAAGTCCCATAGGAGCAATTATTTTGATCTGCTTGTCACAAGGTAGGAGAACAATAAAATCCAATTGGACAACACTGATTTACATTCTCAGAAAGCTCTTGAAGAAGTTTAAATTCTCCCGAATACCTGGCCATTTTGGAGGAGATATCAGGAGAGAAAGGCGACTAGCAGCCTGCATTTATTTGGAATGTTTGGAGGAATGGAAATTCTGCATACAATTGCTGCATTATGTGCTAATTTAGTAGGTGGCTTTGAATGAGGAATAAGTATTCCCAGGTGTCTAGGTCCAAGCGCAGGACACTGCCTCTGCTTTGTAGTGAGTGAACTGATTCTTGTGGGTATGAGAAGAGAAAATATGAACCTTGACATTTATATTCACTTTGTATGGCGGTTGTAACGAATTGTCGCAAACTTGGTGGTTTAAAACAAGACCAATTTGTTCTCTTACAGTTCTGGAGTTCAGAGGTCCAAAATCAGTTTCTCTGGGCTGAAGTCAAGGTGTTGGCAGAACCATGTTTCCTCTGGAGATTCCAGGGGAAACTCCATTTCCTTTCCTTTTCCGGCTTCTAGAATAACATTCCCTGCCTTCCTTGGCTTATGGCCCTTCTTTCATCCTCAAAGCTAGTAGTGTTGCATCTTCAAATCCCTCTCTGCTTCAGTCACATCCCATCTCTTCTATAGTCAAACCTCCCTCTGCCTCTCTCTCATAAGGACTTTTGTGTCCTTCTGAAACCTCCCTCTCATAATCACACCATCTCAAGAACCTTAACTTAATCATTTCTGCAAAATCTCCTTGGCCGTATACAGTTAACTGTCACAATTTCCAGGGATTAAGACCTATGTATCTTTGAGGGTCCTTATTTGGCCCAGAACAATTCTCTTTTCCTCATGGATTAATTCCTTTTCTGATTTTGTGTAGGGATGCAGCCCACCCTGTATTCCGTGAAGGAGGCTCTTCTTGGCAGACCCACCTGGATACGGACAGGCTATGAAATATGTTATTACGAGTAAGTTAGAGTGCTGTTAGCTTCCTTTTCTCTGTCCTGTAATTTTCTCTCCGTTTCCCATTTTTCCATATGGATCTTATAAACATCAGCAATCTGTGCTTGTCTGCTAAACTTGTCACTCTGTCCTAATGTCCAATGCCCTGCCCTTCAGAGGTATAAGCATATTCACTGGCACCCACAGTAGACCTCAAGGAATACCTTTGGATTTGCTGAAAGATAGTTTATCTTCATTTAACCACATTAAACCCTTAGATCTTGTTTTTAGATATTAGCAGTCAGAGAGATTAGTGTGATTAGTGTGTCAAGCCTTACCTGTGTCCGCTGAACCCAGAGAGTGAAATGTCTGAGGAGTTCTGTTTTGTTCCTATCTACCCTATGCTTTAGTTTTCCAGAGTACAAGAGGGTGGCAAATACATGCAAGTGACTCCTCCCCACAGCAAAGTGATTTTGTGAAAAAAATAAATAAATAAAATAAATAAAATAAAAAAGGGAGGAGTTTCAAAATTTTTCAATCTTTGATGAGTTGCCAGTGTCATCAATTTATCCTGCAAAGTTATAATGAACTTTAACCTGTCCATAGATTTTGATGAAAGAAATGCATTCTGGATGCCTAGATTGCTTATGTGTACATTTTCTTCAGATGAAAAATACAGTTCAAATTTATAAGCAAATAAGGATAGGAATTACTATGAGAGGGAGAATGTATACAATTAATTATTAGGTCAGTGCTAGTTTCTTATAAAACTGGGAGACTCGTGCTTGCTTTTTTTAAATAAGTAAGTTTCATCTCTTTCTGAAGTTACTAGAGGTCTCTAAGAAAAAAGTATGATCAGACATTTTAGAGTTTAGGGCGGTTGTCACTATTGAAAAGAAACAGAATATACCCTTATGCCTCTTGGCTTTTGAGACTTTGAGGATAGGAGTATTGATAGATGGGAAAGGTCAAGAATCTTGTTGCTGTATCAGATACAAAGGCAAAAATCGCCATGGAGATAATGGCAGTCTGCAGGACACAGAGCCAGGCTGACTAGCAGTC